ATTTTAAGTTGGTACTTAAGAACTATTCCTCATGTGCGACTAAGTGCACAATTTACATGGTGGTCTGTCCGTGTGGGTTGAGGTATATTGGAGAATCAATGAGAGCGATTAAAACTCGCATATTAGAGCATAAATCCAAAATTAAAAATGCACATCTGGAAGCTCCCCTCATAGACCATTTTGTTTCTAAAGGATATGATGACTTTAAATTTGTAGTTCTAGAAGTCATTTAATAAATATGCCAGAAAGGATATAAGTAAGGTCCTTTTGAAGAGAGAAGCATTCTGGATATACAGACTAAACACCATACATCCACATGGTCTGAATGCATCTTTAGATCTGAGTTGTTTTCTATAAATCCTGTTCCTTAGTGTTTCAGTGTTAGGACACCCAGCCATTGTTCAGTTTTTATGTAAGTTGATTCTGGAGCTATCCATGATTGTGTGAACTCAATATAAGTTAGGAACCACCAACACCTGGTTAACACATAAGCTTTATTCTGTTTGAGAGATGTTCTCCATTACTTATGCAATGAAATAGGTGGTAAGTAGGTTTGAACATTTTCTTTCTCACATAGGCTTTGGTTCTATACAATTATACTTAGTTATCCAATCTGGTTTCATTGCTTTGCTATATTTCTTAGAAACTATTGAACTCCATGTGAATTGGGCAGCTTTTCCATTGAAGTGCAATTTTTCATACATCATCAAGTAAGGCTTTGCACCAATTCTATGTTATTTTGATGTACAATTACCAAGATGCAAGTATTGATGTTGACATATATATTATATTTTTTATAAGCTTATAGTCTTGGTTAGAAGAAGATGTTTGTCGAAATGGCATCGCATTCCGGAGACCACAGTCCCGTCGTTGTCATCTTCTATCTTTATGTATCTGAACATACACATTTGAATGTATTATTATCACTTTTGTACATTTCATATTTATAACTTTACGGTTTTTGTTAAAGAAATATTGAGCGCACTGTGTACAGTTCTTGTGGTTCTATTTTTGCTTTGTTTTTGCAGAACCAAGAGTCTGAGGAAACATCATAGTAACACCTATAAATGTGTTAATCAACAAACAGATCTATCTGGTACTAATTCTCCTCAGGGCCATTTTGCCAGTGGAAATTATAATTGTTGCAAGTTAACATGCAATATGAAATACTTTATCAACCCTTTAGGTAAGAAAAAAATACATAGTAAAGGGTTTTACAACATGTAACTCTACACAGGTTATATATATCATCCAATGCCCTTGTAAAAAGTTTATGTTGGAAAAACAACCAGAAACTTAAGAACACAAAAAGCAGAACACAAGAGTAATATAAAACTGAAAAGAACAAGTGCCCCACTGGCTAAACACTTTATTGAAAATAATTACAGTCCTTCTGATTTTATTTTTTGGGCTATGCAGAAATTAACCTGTAAAAATGAAAGGTTGTTACTGAAAAAAGCAGACAGACTCCAGAAACTGACACCTAAATGGTTAAATGTGTCTTTAGAATTGCATCAGCTTCTTTAAAAATGGGAGAGATTATGTCAACTGGATGCCAGAATATAGTAAAGTTCTTTCAGTGACAATTACCTACTGATTTTTTACTCTTTTTGAAGAACTACTGCAAGACAAACAGGTTGGTAACATTCATTTAGGCACAGTATAAAGATTTCTTTAATTTTGAGCCAAAACCTGTTGCGTGCTTGACAGCCTTATCTTATCTTTGATCTTTACACAGAGTTTCTCTTCCTTATGCAATCTCAAGGACAGAATAAGCTCTAGTGGTTTTGTATGTGACTGATATTTTAGGACCTGGATTTTAACTTTTAATACAATTTATTTATCTCTCATTTATACCCTGCCTCCCAGCCAAGGCTGGCTCAGGGTGACTGGAGTGTGGAGTGCCCCAAGGGGTGGTGCTTTCCCCAGTGCGTTTTAATATCTATATGCACCCTCTTGACCAGATTGCTGGAGGCATGGGCTGGGATGTCATCAGTATGCTGATGACATCCAGCTCTTATCTGCTGTTGGGCAGCCAGTCTGACTCTATACAGGAAGATCTGAACTGGGCCGTGACTGGATGGCTTAGACTGAGCCAACTGAAATTGAATCCGACAAAGATGGAAGTCCTGTGCCTGAGCTTCTAGGCTGGGCAGACTGAAATAATCCATAACTTGACTAGAAGACATGCACGGAGCCTTGAGTTCACTCACTGTCTCAACTGTAGCGGGGAGGTCGCAGCAGAGTGACAAGACTTCATCTGCAAAATAGCTCGCAAAGGCCTCACAGTTGATAAGCAATTCCCTAGCATTTGGTCTGCCTTGTGGCAAGGCAGTAATGGACTGAATCGTTCTAAACAATTGGGCTGGGGATGAGCTTGCAGAAGCAAGCATGGCCACATAGTACTCTTTCTTCACAGCTTTGACTGCCACCTCATAGGATCTCATAAACGTCCTGTAAGATGTTCTTGTAGCTTCGTTGTGGGCATGCTGCCACTGTCTTTCTGGCCGTCTTAGCCTCTGCTTCATTAGCTCCAGTTCTTGGTTAAACCACAGAGCGAGCCTAGAGCGAGGGTGTAGAGGGCGTGGGGGGCAATCTCGTCAATGGCTGTCAAGAGTTGGCTATGCCAATCCTCTACAAGCTCATCCAATGAGCCGCCAGGGGGCATCGGATCCCAGAGAGCCATCTGAAGCCAAATAGGGTACATTTGACTCCACGGACGAGCTAAAATATCCTCGCCGCCCAAACAGGGTTGGGGTGAAACATTCAGACGGGCCTTCAAGGCAAGGTGGTCTGACCATGGCACTGCCAAAGCAGTAATCTGGTCCATCGTAACCCCCGCTGAGAAGATCAGATCGAGCATGTGCCCGGCCCAGTAAGTGGGAGACGTTATATATTGGGAATGTCCTAGCTCCACCATGGACAACACCAGATCTGTTGCCTGAGTAGAGGCTGCATCGTCAGTATGAACATTGAAATTGCCCAGGACTATCATTCTAGGATGTTCTAATGCCCAGCCCAATACGGCCTCCACCAGGGATGGTTGACTATTGGCCAGTGTGTTGGGCAGTCGGTACACCAGCCAAATCACCAAACTCTCCCTGGCTTCCCACACTAGGCCGGCACATTCAATGCCTGTGATCTTTGGTGGCGGGAGTAAGCCTCCAGAATGAATACAGCTACTCCTCTCCACCACCCCCTAGTCTGCGATTGGTGAAGGACCGAGAACTCAGGAGGAGCCAACTGGGAGAGAGCTACTGTCTTAACATCTCACACCCAGGTCTCGGTCATGCACACTAGGTCTATATTCTGCTCAAGCATGGTCTTATTATTTATAGACCTGGCATTGTACAACGCCAATGTCAGAGGGGGGGTCACTCATCCTAGCCCCGCTACCTACAACCTTTGGGATGAGATGCAGGCTGGAAGGCAGCCGAGCTACTCTACTTCTCCGCCCCCTTCCCTTATCTCCATGCCTGATCCCACCGCTGTACTTCCCCCTCCCCAGGAGCACTGGAATCCCCTGCCCGGTCATCGTCATGCCTAGTGGTCTTCGCCAGCTACGAACCAGCTATGAGCCTCAGACCAACTCGCAGCCTCAGATCAACCAGCTATAATCCTTTGTAACAGCAATGATTAGCCCCAAAAGAATCCTAGATTTGATCCTACAATATCTTATTTATATAATTTTAAGTATACTTATGTAAACTCAGTGTTATTATATATTACAGAGTCCCCTGATGAAACCTGTTGGCAAAATGCGTAGGGAATTTTTGGAAATTTAATTGAGTAATAAAATATATATTTTTACCTGATTTGCACCATCGGCCTTGGCTCTATGTTTATTTCCAGTCAGCAACTTGGCAGCTGCATTCTGGACCACCTGCAGTCTCTGAAGCGTTTTCAAGGGTAGCCCTATGTAGAGCGAACTGCGGGAGTCCAATCTGGAAGTGACTGTTGCATGAATCAATGTGGTAAGGTCCGACTCAGACAAATAAGGAGCCAGCTGGAGGGCCTGGCATAGGTGAAAAAAACACTGACCCGTGCTACCATGGACCAACCACACCCCAAGGCTCTTTACAGAGTCTACAGCTGTCAGCTAGACACCATTGAGTCTTGGGAGTGACCCTCCAGCTAGTATCTCAGGCTTTCTCAGCCACATGATTTCCATCTTGAAAGGATTCAATTTCAGCCAGCTTCCCCTTAGCCATTAGCATTGGAGTACTGCATCCATGCACTGGGATAGTGCCAAGAGGCCTGCTGCTGGCTGCTTATCCAGCAGTAGGAAGAGCTGAGTGTCATCAGCATATTCATGGCACTCAACTCCAAAACTCTTCACGATCTCAGCAAGAGGGTGCATATATATGTTAAATAACATAGGAAAGAAGATTGAACCCTATGGGACCCTACAGTTCAGGTTTTGTCGGGAAGACTTCTTCCAGATAGCAACCCTCTAAGAGCACCCCTGGAGGAATGAGAAGAAGCAACTAAGGGTGGTGCCCCTCATCTTCAAAACCAAATGGTCAACTGTATCGAAGGCCACTGATAGATCCAGAAGGATCAACAGCACTGGCATGCCTTTATCCAGATGTAAATGGAGATTGTCAACCAAAATGACCAGTGCTGCCTTGGCCCCAAAGTTTAAGCCCAAATGAAAACCTGGAGCTGCTTGGCCACTTCTTGCTCAATTACCTTCCTCAGAAAAGGTAGATTAGACACGGGGTGGTAATCAGCCAGCTTCTTTTTATCCAAGGAGGATCCAAGGAGGAGGGAAGTTGAAGCAAAACAAAACTTCCAAGAAAACCGTTTGTTACAGCTACAAATGGAAAAAGCCAATATGATTCTCAGATTTCAGGAAGTTCCTGAATCAGCGAAGGAGGAACTGAGGAAGCTGCTCAGCGAGATCATTGCTCCAGCAATAGGCTCAACAGTGGATGAAGTAGTAAAAGAGATGGAGACTGCTTATAGGGCATACTCCAACTATATTAAAAAAATAGCCTGCCTGGAGAAATTGTGGTCAGATTCTCAAGAAGACAGACCAGAGATGCTATTTTAAAAGCGACTTCAGCAACTCCACTGAAAATGGGGAATATAAACATTAAAACCTTAAAAGACATTCTATTTGAAATTCGCCAAAAGAGGAAAAGCTACAAGGACTTAATTTCTTTTCTTCAAACCAATGGAATTTCGTACAGGTGGGCGATCCCAGAGGGTGTCATCTTTAAAATCAATGACAAAAGAGAAAAGATTGACTCCATTTTTAAAGCCAAAGAATTTTTGAGACGCCAGTTGGGATTGGAGGAAGAATCCAAAGATGAAGAATCGAAATCAAGTGACTCCACAACCTCTGGAACGGATGAGGACTCTGCTGTAGAAATGGTAGCAGGCGCAACGAAAGTAACATATGATTTTAGAGACAGAAAACTGAAGTAAAGGCAGAAGGACTCTGAAAATTGCCTTTTGAAGGCAAGAAGATGCTCAGAAAGTTCTCTCACAACAACATACTAACATTGAAGCCGAGACAAACAAGAACTCTACAAGTATATTGTTGTACTAACACTTTTATTAATAACACTTAGATTAACACGGATATGATCTCCTCCTCTTGGGTTTTTAGTGTAGTGTGGTTATCTATTCTTTATCCTTAGATGTAATCCCCTTCCCTTATATTTTATTTGTAGTTTTGTAGTCTTATAAAAAAATAATTTAAAAAATATCCCTCCGGGGATGTCAAAAAAAGAAATGTCTGTACCAGTTGCAATGGACACTTGCTTGCTTTCACAAATGCAAACTTGACTTGGAAGACAAAAGCTGGACAAAAGCTTGTCTTGTAGACTTCATTGAAGAAGAAGAAGAAGAGGAGGAGGAGGAGATTGGATTTATACCCCGCCCTTCACTACCCAAAGGTGTCTCAGAGCGGCTTACACACTCCTTTCCCTTCCCTTCCCCGCAACAGACACCCTGTGAGGTAGGTGGGGCTGAGAGAGTTCTTGACAGAAACTGCTTTTTTTTCAAGAGCTTATCAGAGCTACGGCTTGCCCAAGGTCATCCAGCCAGGTGCAAGTGGAGGAGTGGGGAATCAAACCCGGTTCTCCCAGATTAGAGTCCGCGCACTTAACCACTACACCAAACTGGCTCTCATTGCCCTTGGTTATAGATTTTAGATGTGAAGTAGTATGCTGCATTGATCTATATAGTTTTATTAATTATTTGTTCTTGGGTTATATCTCACCCTCACAGACTCTTCATAAATATAGTACTTTATGAATTCGAACAGTTCCATTCAGGGAAAAGAGGCTGATATTTCAGCAGTGGATCGATAAAGGATCAATATAAGGATCGATAAAATGTTGGAATATGCAAATATAATAACTTATAGCTCCTGAAACCTACACATATCAGCACTAAAGCTTGTCTACATTTACTTGTTCTAGGTCAGCCTACTTGCTCTTTTCTGTTTTATTCCTCTGAACCACTTTTGTTTATTTCTCTCCTATTTTTTCTTTATTATTAATTTCTCCCCTTTCTTGGAAAAAGGGTGAAAGAGATGGACTGCTGTGTGGTTGTTTATATTGCATATACTTGTAAGCAGCAATAAATATTTGCAAACAAACACTATGATTAATAGCTTTGGTACTTACAGAATGTAAGTTATTACACCAATGCTCCTGCAAAGAGAAGGAGAGGAAGAAAAAATGCTTGTCATCATTCAGAAATGAATAGCAGAATCACAAATAAATTCAAGTGCTATAAATTTTCAGAACTTACCACATATCCGCCTCCAGACCCAAAGGTTCATAGTTTACTATTTCAGGAGCTAAAACACAAAGATTAGCATTAGTACACAGGTAGAATAGCAGGGCAGTATGACTTGACAATATTTTATTCTCTATAGCATTAGCAGCTAAGAAGCAACAGTTTCCTATAGCATCTTTATTTCTGTATTTATTAGACCAGTATTACTACTTTATAAGTAAGGAGTAAGACCAGAGGTCAATTCGGGGGGGATCGCGAGGGATCGCCGTTCCCCCGGGTGAGGTGCGGGGGGCGGGGCACACGATGAAGCCCCGCCCCCTGCTTCCGGCCGCCCCGCTTCTGGCCCTCATTCAGCCAGGAGGAGGCAGGAGAAGAGGGAGGGTAAGTTGCTTCCTCCCCGCCTCTCCCCACCCCTGCCTGCCTGTGTTAGTCTGTTGCTGCAAAATAGTCCAAGAGTTCAAATAGCACCTTTAAGACTAACAAATAGCACCTTTAAGACTAACCTTTAAGACTAACTGAGTGGTATGTGTGGCCTTATGACAAACTTCCGGTGATGTCAGTGGGTGTGGCCTTATGACACACTTCCAGTGATGTCAGGGGGTGTGGCCTTATGACACACTTCCGGTGATGTCAGGGTGTGTGGCATATGCTAATGAGTTATGCTAATGAGTTCCCCTAGCTCTTTTTCTACGAAACGAACCCTGAGTAAGACACTGCCCGTTATTGTTATATGCCGATGACGCTGTCTTTCTGTCACTTTCAAAGGTTGGGATGAAAAGGATGCTAATGCACTTTTCAGTATATTGTGATAAGAACCTGGTGTCCCTCAATTTTGATAAGTCAAAAATTATTGTGTTCGGTCGGAGTTGGAAACCCTGTAAATGGACTGTTCGAGGAAATCCTGTCGAACAGGTGAAGAGTTTCAGATACCTTGGTATACACTTCCATTACAATGCTAACTGGGTCTCCCACACTAAGGAGGTTGTAAAATCAGTGAATAGCAGTGAACTTGCAATTTCCCGCTTTTATTATACAAAAGGAAATCAATTTGTTCCTGCTGCTCTCAAGGTGTTTAATCACAAAATATGTGCTAAACTACTCTATGGTGCCCCAATTTGGATCTCTGTTTTTAATAAAACGGTTGAAAGTGTTCAATCAAAATTTCTTAGAAAAATTCTAGGGCTCCCAACTTGTGCACCTTATGCGGCAATATGCCTTGAGACAAACCAGAGACGCTTAGTAACTAAAGCATAGCTCTCAACTTTTAAATTTTGGCTGCGCCTCCTCTATAGAAGTGAGCCTAACAGTCTCATCACTTATATGCTATGCGAAACCTACCAGATTGGTTGACATGTGTTGAAGGGAAAACTACACAGCATGGATGATTTGATCCTTCTTTTGGAGAAGTATGCTTTTGGCATGATTAAACAGAGATTGATCGATACAGAAATGCAAGAACTTAGAAACCTTCCTACTGGCCATCAGTGTTCCTTCTAAGCTGAGTTAATGTGAGCTAGCTCACAGTTTTTTAGCCTCTGGCTCACATATTTTTGTCTTAGCTCAGGAAGGATGGCTCCAAAGCAAACTAATTTATACAGTAGCCAATCGCTTACTCACAACTTTAATGCCAGCAGCTCACAAAGCAGAATTTTTGCTCACAAGACTCCACAGCTTAGAGGGAGCATTGCTGGCCATTGCTTTCCCATTTATTGGGGGATTTCTCTTAATGGGCCGCTGTCAGAGTATTTTTCCTGTCTGATTGATCCCTATAATAGAAGGGTATTCACACTGGCCTGTTTTAATGTGCTCCCCTCAGCTGTGTTATATGGGAGATTTTAAAAAATACCATTCCCGGATAGGTTATGTCCCTGTGGGCTAAAGGAGATTGAAGGAACGGACCATGTACTTCTGACTTTTACCAGGATTTGTGCGCTTATCACCTCGGCCCTATACTGAAAACCCTGGAGGGCAAATCAGAGGAAAGTAAGATAATGAACCTTCTAGCCTCAAACAGGTCTGATACCATTGAAGAGGTGGCAAACTTCCTTTACAGAGTGTATAGGAGGAGAAGTTCTTTTTCGGCAGAAGGGGTAGTGAATTAACTGTTTTGCGGGCCTACCGCCTCTGTACTTAAGGCTGATGCTGTTGTTATGCCAATAAAGGTTTGTTGTGTGTTGGGTACTATTTTATAACTGAACTCTGTTTCTTCTTTACAATAAATCACTTTACGTATATTTTGGCGTGTTCTTAGGTTTTGGGGCTTCAATCTGAACCCAATACTTCAGCCCATATTGGCTACAACTACCAAAGGAATTGTTTTCTGGAATTTCCCTTTTAAGTGTTCTCTGCCTTACAGGGTTGACTTCCTCATTCTTAGACCTGGAAGAGCTAGAGGCTTTGTCTTTTGCTCTCTGGCTGACTGGGTAGTATAAGGGGACTGGTGGCAGTGATATGCTGAGGTGTGAGGACTCACACTTCAGACCTTTGGTTTTGTATTGCCCAACCTGCCCCCTTAAACATGACTTTGGCTTTAATGCCCTTTGACAGTGAACTTTAAGTCCTTGGTAGTCCCCCATCCAAATACTAACCAGGGCCAGGGGCCATTTCCTGCAGGAGTGCACAGGAGCGGAGCTCCGGCAGTAAAGAGCCCAGGGGGCGGGCACATGCAACAAGCCCCAGCCCCTGCTCCCAGCAGCCCTCAGTTAGAGCAAGAAGCAGCCAGGTAAGCTGCAGAGCCCCCCTGCCCCCCCCCCGGGTCCAAAACAGTCCAGTGGCACCTTTAAGACCAAGTTTTATTCAGGTACAAGCTCTCCCTCCTCTGTGAGGACAGATCTGCACGTTCCCCCTCTCCCCAATAGCTAGCAATCCAGAACAGTCCAGTGGAGCCTGAGTGGTGGGTGTTGCTTTCTGACACACTTCCGATGACGTCAGGGTGTGTGGCATATGCAAATAAGTTATGCTAGTGAGTTATGCTAATGAGCTCCTGCACCTCTTTTTCTACAAAATGACCCCTGACCAGGGCCAACCCTGCTTAACTTCTGAGATCTGGCTAGCCTGGGTCATCCAGGTCAGGGCTATTTCTTTCACTAACTCAAAAAAAAAGTTTTAAACTTAAGTTAAGTTTTCAGATCACCTGCCATTTTCATCTGTCACTATCTCCAGTTGTCACTCTCTGTGTTCACACTGTACTGATCCTTCCTTTCTTTCCTTTCGAAGTATAGTAAAACTGGGAACAAGAATCAGTGGGCTTTCTCTTCCACTCTATGACCTAGGACAAAATTGAGCAGAATGCCCCTAGACATTCAAGGACAGATGAGTTTCCCCTCTTTTTATCAACTATGGGGCTTTACAAAAGAGAAACACTTTCTGTTGTAAACCTCAAGGTCTTCCCACATCACCCGATACCCACAACCACTATCTCCAATGGTCTGTTTAAATACTTAACATATCCAAACAGAAAATGCCCACTTTACTAATATGTGAAAAGCTATTATATATGATTAGCATTATGCATGCTAAGTTACACATGTATGCAAGGCTCAAACATTATTTCCTTGGGCCAGGTATAAACATTCCCTCCCCCAATTCTACCCTATATGTACAATTTCAATCTTTCATTTCTAAAATGGGGTGCACTCCCCATTTCCCACTCTGTATTTCAACCCTGCAAATATACAAATGTGGGCTCATGTATAAATTTTCTTAATAAAGATTTTATCCCTACAGAGATGCAAAGAAAGTAAGGATATTTGCAGTCAGAACACTTAAAAACTTAATAGGCATCTCAGTAAGATTTGAGGCCCATGAATTTTCCATAGGTCCTGCTATATCCTCCAGGGGTCAAAAGACTATGCAGATTCCAGACTTTAGCCTATCATCATCTCTGCAGTTACCACACCTTTCACTTTGGAGAGAAAAGTATGGTATTCCTATAGTTCAACACATGTCCATCCCTTTATTTAATTTTTTTTTAGACTAATACAAACTTAGACCAGAAGTCGCCCTGACCTGGATAGCCCAGGCTAGCCCGAACTTGTCAGATCTCAGAAGTCAAGCAGGGTCAGCCTTGGCTAGTATTTGGAAGGGTGACCTTCAAGGAATAGCAGGGTCGCGATGCAGGGGCAGGCAATGGCAAACCACCTCTGAAACTTCTCTTACCTTAAAAAAAAGTCTAGCTCACCATCTAGTAGTGCACAACACTAAAAGAGCTAGAACGTCTGGCTGTCAGATCATCTTAGGCCCCTGCCACACAGGGGGGAAAATGCGCGGCCTAAGTGCGGATTTTGGAAGCTGCACCAAAATAGACACGCGGTGGCGGGATCACACGGATCCCGTGAGCCGCCGCGCAGTTGCTCCCCGGCACGATCAGATGCCGGGGAGAAAGCCACGGAGAGGAGCGGGAGGCCGCCGGCTGCGCATGCGTGCGCATGCGCAGTTCGGCTGGGAGCCTCAATTGCTCCGGAAGACGGACGCTTGGGCGATCCGACGGCCGCGCTTGTTGCGGCGTCTCTGGTAGGTCCTGCTCGGGAGGTGTTTTTTTTTAACAGTGGATTTTCGGCCGGAAGGGCCAGATCGGGGACGGGTGCGCGCCGCTTCCCAGATGTTGCGGTGAGATCGTGCCCGTTTGCTGCGCCCCCAATCCGTCCCTCTCCCAGCCCAAAACCTTTCGTGTGACTGGGGCCTTAGGATCAAATGGCCAGTGTTCCCTCCAAGCTGAGTTAGTGTGAGCTAGCTCACAGATATTTAGCTCACACATTTTTGTCTTTGCTCAGGAAGGATGGCTCCAGAGCAAACTAATTTATGCTGTAGCCAAATCGCTCACTCACAACTTTAATGCCAGTAGCTCACAAAGTAGAGTTTTTGCTCACAAGACTCTATAGCTTAAAGGGAGCATTGCTCCTGGCTATACTACGCACAAGGCCATATGAAAATTATTAATTAATAGAGCAGAAGTCATTTCTGCACTGGTTATATCCAACCAGTTTTAATGCCGCCCTGCAAATGTGGCATAACAGAAAAGAATAAGAGCAAGAGTACTTACCAACAAATTCCGGTGTTCCAAAAATGTTCTTAAACTCATTACTAAAGTCTATTTTGTGTGCCAAGCCAAAGTCAATGATCTTGATACGAGGTTTTGGTACATTTCTATCCAGTAGCATTATGTTCTCAGGCTTTGAAGAAAAATAATAACTGCATGAAAGTCGTAGAGTACTACCACAATGTAGGATTTCCCCCCCAAATGAGTACTCAAGGAAACTTTGTGTCCAAGCCCCCCCCTCACATATCTGAGTCTCTGTTCCAAAATCAGATAGAACTCCATGGACTCTCACACAAAAATATTTTTAAGTACAATACAAAAATGTATTAGGAAACCCAATATTAAGACAATACAGAAATGTAAGTTCAATATTAGCTCAACACGTAGTGGCAGAAAACCCCCAGTGTTGCACCCTGAATCCTGACTGAACCAGGGGCCCAAGATTGATGCATGTGATGAATAATGTTTATGCCTTTGCTGCAAATGGTTACCAAACAAGACGAATGAAACATAAACTTGCTCTATGCTATTTGGAATGGTAATGTAGAATTACTTTGCAAGTGGCTCCTGTAGAGTTGAGAAGTGGGTCCCACTTGGAAATGTCCAAGAATCACTGCTTTACTTAAAGACTAGTGCTTGTTTTTGATATCTAACATTTAAAGGATCCAAATCTAACTTACCTTGAGATCAAAGTGTGCGATTTGCAGACTGTGCAGATAATTAACACCATTAAGGATTTGCTTGAGAAATTCCGTGGCCTCCTCTTCAGTCAAAGATTCCTTTTCAGCTAAAAAATCAAAAAGCTCCCCTCCTGCAACACTGTGAGAATATGAGCAGTAGTTAATGACACAAACTTTAACTGATTTTTTTTGTCTCAAGGACTTTGCACAATCATATTAAACATTCTAAAAACATTCTTTACAGAGTATTGAAACCACATTTCACATTTTAAGTTAAGGTACATAGCATTTTAGTCTGAACAAGAAGTACTTCAATCCTGTAAACCAGAGGTGTCTAACTCGTTTGTTATGAAGGCCAGATCTGACATAACAGTTACTTTGTCAGGCTACCATATCTGCATTAAAATGATATGCCAGGAATAGGAGATATAAACTTTATAAGTGACACAGGCAAACTCAATTAATGATATTATTTTTTACTCAAAATACAAACAAAAGCAATTGATTCCTAGGAGTGAAAGCAATTGATTTACTGGGGAACCCACAAAACCCCAATAAATGTATTTAATCATATGCAAGTCTAGGGTTTTTCCAAGGGATACTATATATCTACCCCCAAGCCATTTATTTTAATTTCCTGACAGCTTCGACCACATGTGTGTGCCCATGTGCCCGCTCCCCCCCATCAGTCTCCTGCCTTCCCTCTCTCATACCAGTTGCTTGTGGGCCAGATAAGAGCCCTAGATAGGCCAGTTCTGGCCCCTGGTCCATATGTTTAACACCCCTGCTATAAACATTCCAGAACCTGATAATTTTATGATGGCCACTAAAAATGATGCTGGCGCCTATGAATGTGAACAATTTTTTTCCGCTTAAAACAATTCACGTAATCGAACGTAAAACTGAATTTAGAAATATTTCCCTAAAAATGATGTTCAGACCACAAAAAGCTTCGATATTAGCACAGCCATTTTGGCAGCACTGAAATAGCAATGTTATAGGTGTACTGACTTTGTAAGTACAACATAAAAAGGTTATGTGTTACTATCCCACAACTACATTGTTATCTATTTAATGTGTTCACACCTCTTTCCATACTTATTAAGTGTTTTACAACATTCTACCAAATGTCAGTATGGTTTAAATATTTAGTATCTGCTTGAAATACCATATTAAGAAAAATCTGATATTACAGGTTGAGATTCTGCCCGTAAACGCTTAAGAATTTGCCATGTACATTCATCAAATAACTTTAAGATGTCTCATATAAAAATATTATATGATCACAAAATAAATATCAAACCATAAAATCAGAAAACACAAAACCCCCTAAAACAACAATACAGGAGTGGCCAAACTCGCTTAACATAAGAGCCACATAGAATAAACATCAGATGTTTGAAAGTCGCATGACATGAACAAATATTACATGTTTTTATTGAAAAATATCCAAATTTGCTTTTTATTAACATTAAATGAGACTGCAAACAATAAACACAAAAGGGGTAAAAATAGATATTGATAATGATATTTATTTGTCCAATGATATTTGTATCCGGGGGGGGGGGGGGCCTGGGGGGGAGGCTTTGAGAACGCATTTAAAGTTAAAGTTGCTTTCTTTCTCTGCTCCCCCTTGCCTCAAGCCTACCCAGGAAGGGGAACTGGTTGGGGAAGGGAAGACTGATCAGGGAGGGGAGGAATGCCTATGCATCACCCTCCCTCGAGTCAAAGGCCAAAATAGGCCCGGAAAGGACCCTGCCTCTTCCCCGCTGCCTTTTTCCTCACATAAACCCAGCCTGGAAGTGTGGCTGCCTAGCAACAGCCACCGAGGGAATCTGTTGCTTAAAGTTGCAGGTGCTCCTTTTATCATTTTTGTCTTTTTTAACCCCCCCCCCAATTTTTTTTTAAGATTTCATTTTTTTCTGCAAACCTGGGCCCCTTTTCAGGTTTGCAGACAGATCTGTCTTGCCTGTTCACAGCTTCAGTCTCTGAATTTAAGTATCCAAACTTCGCTATAAGAATATAAGATTGATACTAGTCATAAATACTTGTGAAAACTCCCCACTATATTTATTTTATTCATGTATATCCTGCCCTTTTTCTCACTGGAGAACCGAAGCAGCTTATATCATTCTCCTTTCCTCCATTTCTATCCTCACAATGACCCTGTGAGATAGGTTAGGGTGCGAGAGAGTGACTGGCCCAAGGTCACCTAGCGAGCTTCCACGGTACAAGTGAGGATTTGAACTTGGTACTAGATACTAGTCCAAAACGTACTACACCTACCCACCCACCCACACACACACACACACAAATAGAGCAGGTAGTAATAACTACCACAATAATTGGCCATAACTGAAGGATGGAAAGTAAATAAAGGAGAAGGTCAGTAAAACAGAAGGGACCAGGGATAAGAAAACTGATTTGTATTAAAGAAATCCAAAACAGAAAGGGAGTGTCATAATAGAAGGAGAGAACATATAACATTGTTTTCCCATTATAAAATGCAAAGAACCCCAACTGTGAACAGGTGGTGATTTCATCAAATAGCTAAGAAGATCGTGAAGAAGTTAGTATTACAAGACATTGATTGTTTTGTGGTTCATTATGCTGCAGGATGTGACTTGTTAAACTGAAGCAGTTTATTCACTTAAACTGAAAGTTAAACAAAATAAAATGTAAAGGTAAATTGTATAAAAACACTGCCTGTTTCACTAACATAAAACAAAAAGAACACTGAGAGCTGACTTTTTAAAGTTCACCATCGTGATGATTGTTATAAACACTTGTGAAAGGAATGTGGCACAACAATAACAAATTAATCTCAGACTTCAAATAAAGGCTTAGGCAAATATACCCAATACTGTATTAGCAGAGAGACAAATAACTTTTCCTAGTATGACATTTTTTCAGATACTATCAGATATTAGTCATAACATCTTTATGATGGTCGATGTGCATTCCTGATTAATTTTCTCTTCTGATTCCCTAATAAGATTATTGAACAAATTCTGTATAGCTCCTTAAAGAATTGTATGTTCTTGAACTCTGATTAGCAGAACACCAGAATGATTACCACCCACAGACTCTAAACACTTCAAACGACATAGCATATAATTACATTAAATTCAGACCATGTACTAATTCAGAGCTTTCTTATTCACCATCAGAAAATCAAGTTCTGTCAAACATTCTCATACATTCATACCTGAAAGGTTTCATGATTTTCTTCTCAAATATACAATAGCACATAGAACATATTAAGAGATAACAGAGGCCATTACCACTGGGACATGTTGAACTGATTGACAGGAACAGAGAATCAGTGTGGTGTAGAGATTAGTGATGTACTAGAAATTGGGAGGACTGGGTTAAAAAATCCCCCCTGCCATGAATACGGATGGGCACGAACCAGCTCACCAACTAAAGTTTGTGATGCATTTTGGCCAGTTCGTGGTTCACAAAGTTAAGTTTGTGGCAGGTCAACTGGCACGAACTTTCAAGCTGTTTGTGGAGGTCTGTGCTGGTTCGTGAATTGATACATTTCTAGACAGACTGTCTTCGCTCAATCTAAATGTTTACAAATCTCAAAGCAACAGGGGGGCGGAACTTGGAGGGCATGTACATTCAGGGTAGGTCCCCTGCCACTTTGATGTCTCTAGCTTGCACAGGATCCGTTCTATACACTCCTATACACTATACAGGATTTGCTCTATACACAGGATCCGCTGTATACACTCCTATACACTATAAAGGGGGTCATTTTGACAGGCACAGGTTCAGGAGTGTATAGAACAGATCCTGTGCAAGCTAGAGACACCAAACTCACAGGGGATCTCTGGCTGACTCTCTTCCACCTGCCCTCCAAGTTTGATGAGAACTGAATGTACAGGGTCTGAGTTACAGCCCCCCAAAGAAGGTGCCCCCAGGAAAATGCTTTCTGGGGAAATGACACACGGGGATCATAACTTGGACCCCATAAATTCAATCCTCACCAAACTTGAAGGGCAGACAGGAGAGTTAGCTGGAGATCCCCTGCGAGTCTGGTGTCTCTAGCACAGCAAGGGGCCATTCTATCAGGTCACAAACCTCACAAACCAAACTGGTTTGTTTGGCCCCTAATGTGATGGTTCATGGTTTGTGAACCAGGCATACCACAAACCACAAACTGAACCACACTTTCCTAGTTTGTGCCCATCCCTAAACATGAAGTTACTAGGTGATCTCTTTCAGCCTAACCTCACAGCCTGATTTAAGGATAAAATGGATGCAGGCTGAACCACGTATGATGCCCTGAACACACTGGAAGAGAGAAAACTACAATAAATAGTAACTTTCCACATAGTGACATATAATACCATATTCTTAAGGACTTCTGTGACAGACAGTACTAAGTCCATCCCTTTTCTCCTTATCAGTTAATTTTCTTTGCATCCTGTTGCACTTTCAAAAGGCTTTGACAAGGTACCTCACCAAAGACTCCTGAGTAAACTTAGCAGTCATGAAATGAGGATGGGTTCCCTGTGGGACCTTCAGAGCTTCCGCAGGACATGCAAGTCAGTCAATGTTCAGGGAGGCCTTCTCCTGATCTTGTTCTGTTGGCCCTCCTGGAACTTATCCACTTCTTTACTTTTTATTGATTATTTATGAATGACCAGTGTCTGATTTTATTATCTTATATATTTTTATATCCAATTGTTGTTTTATTGCTGTAATCTGCCCTGAGCCTTTGGGAAAGGGCAGAATAGAAATCTAATAAATAAATAAAATAACTATGGATTAAAAATTGGTTAAATGACAGGAAGCAAATGGTAGAAATAAATGGACAGTTCTCACAATGAAGGGAAGTAAGAAGTAGGGTCCCACAAGGATCAGTACTGGGGCTGGTACCATTTAATTTGTTCATAAATGATCTGAAAACCATTGAGCAGTGTAGTGGCCATATTTACAGATGACATAAACTTATTCAGGATGGTGAAAACCAAGAATGACTACGAAGACTTCCAGTAGGATCTCCACAAATTGGGTGAGGGGACAACAATGTGGCAAATAAAGTTCAATTTAATTCAGTGTAAACTGAATTAATTCAGTGTAAACTGATGCACACTGGAATAAAAAATCCAACTTCAAGTATATGCTAAATAGATCTTCGGGTTCTAGTAGAGGGTCATATAGGGAAACAGATTTTGGGGTGGTAGTAGACAACAATAGAAATGTCAACCCAGTGTGCTGCAGCAGTGAAAACGGCAAACTCTGGGTTGGGAATTATTAGGAAAGGGATTGAAAATAAAACAAGATGATATTATAATACCCCTGTATAGATCTATGGTACAGCTTCACTTGGAATACTGTGTGCAATTCTGGTCACTGTATCTCAAAAAGGACATTGCAGAGGTGGTAAAAGTACGGAAAAGGGAAACCGAGATGATTCGGGGGTTGAGGCACCTTTCCTATGAGGAAAAGCTGCAGAGTCTGGGACTTTTCAGTTTAGAAAAGAGATGACTGTGGCAGACAGGGTACATTCTGCCTCTCTCTAAGAGCAACCAATGAGAGCTGACAGAATGTTAGGAGAGACCGTTGAAAATCAACAGTTGAACAGCAGCTGGGAGCTGGAGTTGAAAGGGAAAAGGAAGATGTCTGACTGAACGAAACTATGGAGAAGAGCTGCTTACAGTGGGCTGAAAATAGACAATTTGTAACCACAGGATTCCAGTTGTGGGAAAAGGATCACATTTCAGAAGTTCAATGAAATAGAAACTTCATAACTTCTACCTTGCTTTCTTCAATGTTATGCTAATACCATAAATAAAAGTTAATTTCTTGTTTCATTTAACCTCACGGGCTGTGTGTTTAAGGGAAAGAAACACACCCACACAATTTAATATCTTGAACAAAGTTTGAGTTCAATGGCACCTTTAAGCCAGTTTGGTGTAGTGGTTAAGAGTGCAGACTCTAATCTGGGAGAACTAGGTTTGATTCCCCACTCCTCCACATGCAGCTGCTGGTGTGACCTTGGGTCAGTCACAAATCCTTTCAGAGCTGTTCTCTCAGTCCCACCTATCTCACAAGGTGTCTGTTGTGGGGAGGGGAAGGGAAAGGAGATTGTAAGCCGCTTTCAACCTCCAAGTGAAGGGTGAGGTAGAAATCCAATCTCTTCTTCTTCAAAGTTTTATTCTAGGTAGAAGCTTTTGTGTGCATGCACACAATATCGGAGATATTGAAACAGAAGTCACCAACCATTACATATACATAGAAGGTAGGGAGGGTGTTGGATACACAAAAAGCCAAAGCCCCTGATGAGTAGCCCTTTCTACTTAGGCCATCCAGTTTCCTTCCTTCCCTGTCCAATGAGGAGGAATGAGTATGTTCCCTCTGCTTGGAAGGCATGACTTGTGCCACTAGGGAATTGGCAGGAGGGTGTGTGAATATGAATTCACAGTTCTCCTGTTGAACCCTGTATACATTTTCCAACTTTAGTGTGGAGAGATGCACCAAAGCAGGCCTAGTCCTGATGGAAATGGCAGTTTCTAACAAGCCTTGAAGCACTGGGAAGGCAACTGAACCTGCCGAGTTGGAGTATGCCACCTAGAGTATTATATCCAAAGGTCTTGGATCTGAACAGACTATATCCAACTCCAAAGTCTTGGCCAATCTGACCAAGTGCTCCATGTAGAGCTGGAGATCCTTCTCATCTGGAAATTGATCTGAGGTGGCATTGGAGCGGGATGGAAAACCATCTTTAGAGCTGGAGTCACTTGCAGATGGAAGGAGCACCAGATGCAACAACACTGAAGTATTTGGTCTTGGATGTGCTTGGAGTTGAGGGCTGCTGGCCTTGGAACCATGGGATGGAACCACATCTACTGCTGGTCTAGAGTGCCCCACTGAGGGATATACATTGGGGTGGGAGGACAAGGATACTAAGAAGACTGCCAGAACATGGGAGCAGCGGGAGGTACGTCCACAGCTGATGTCTTCTTGGACAACTCTACATGGTCTCTTGGAGTTGGCCTGATTCCTTGACATCATCATCTGACTATAATGGGCTATTTGCCACCCACAAATGAGGTAGTGAAGTGCACAGAGGAGGGGCAGTGACCTCTAGGTCCAGACCCAATGGACCATGTGCCCAATGGACCATGTGCTCCTTTGCCAAAGCCATGGAGTTGAGGGCCACTTTCAAATGGGAGGTCCTTTCATGCTAGGCTTTGGGAGTGAACTGCTTGCAGGCCATGCAAGCATTTACACCGTGAGACTCACCCAAGCATAACAGGCATAACAAATGCTCATTGGATTCAGTCATTTTTTATCATATTTGGTATATTTTTTGAAGAGTGCCATCAAATCAGCTCACCAAATGAGAACATGACTGACAGAACTTGAAGAAAAATATCCTTCGAAGAATTATTCTCCTCAGAAATAAATCACTTTAGGAAACACGCAAAGAAAGCTGTAACGTGTCCCGCCTCCAAAGAGGCGACAGAAGGACTGAGGGGAAAAGTCCTCCTATTCCTTGGTCACATCAGTTTAGGCAGAAAGAACTAATGCAAGCCAAGGGGAGGGGGAATGGTTCACTGGCAGAGCATCTGCTTGGCATGCAGAAGGTCCCAGGTTCAATCCCCAGCATCTCCATTTAAAAGGACCAGGCAGGAGGAGATATAGAAGACCTGAGACCCATTGACAGTCTGAGTAAACAATACTGACTTTGATGGACCAAGAGACTGATTCAGTATAAGACAGCTTCATGAGTGCTCCTAGCACTGTTGAAAACACTAGAAAGGTAAAGAAGTTTCACTTTTGCACCTGGCCTGCACATGGGTAGTTCCATATAGGACTGCACAGAAGCCATGAAGATGAAGAGTGTACACTTCTATATGCAGAAGATTCTCAGATTTATGCCCAAGTCTCTGGAGAACTACAGCCCATCAGAGTAAACAGTTCTGAGCTAAATGGGCCAATAGACTGACTATGTATAAAGCAGCTTCAGATCTACTGGCCATATGATACAACTTTGTCCAACACTAAAAGAAAGTTGCCTTTCTAAAGGTTGACAACCCGTGTGATTTTCAGCAGCATCACTCCTCAAATTATTTCAAAATTACTTACAGTTCCAGGATAAGAATGACGTCCATTTTACTTTCATACACATCATGTAGTGTGATCACATTGGGGTGCTGGATTTCTTTTAATATATTTACTTCTCGTTCAATGTCTTCTCTACTCACTCCCCGACGGCTGGATTTTGTTCTCCGTTTCTTGATGAATTTTGCAGCATATTGTGTTCCAGTGCTCTTCTCGCGACACTTTCTTACAACTGCAAACTGCCCACTAAAAGACACAAGTCAGTAGAAAGAACGTTTCTGGAAAACTCAGTTCTTGCTTTCTATTACTACAAGTAGCTGGAACACTAGAAATGTTATACATAACACATTCACACTTTTTAAAAAGTAATTTTCTTCCCTGCCACGGGGAAGAATTATCATTCAGTTCCTGAGGCAACCAGAAAACATTCAGATATGCAACATACTGGAGAACTGGGTTCTGGTTTGCCTTTTTCAAGGATCTCTCCAAACTGACATTATGTTTTACAGTTAGCTTTTCAAAACCATCCGTTGCTACTCCGACGAAATTAATGGAAAAGGAAACAATCTTTATTATTAGGAAACAAAGCTCCAATGAAATATGCATAGTTCTTAACATCATAGGTATGATTCAGATGAAAAGATAAATAATGGCTTGTTTTTTACATGAATCTGAGGAAGCATATATGAACAGCTAACCTTGAACTTGCTTAATGTAAGAGCCACATTGAATAAATGTCAAATATTCGAGAGTCACAAGACATGAACACACATGTTTTTATTGAAAAATATATACATTTGCATTTTAAATTAAAGAGACTAATGCCTTCTCTGAGCCAAGACAGTCTGCTGGTGTGGCAGGGCTTGGAGAACACATTTAACTTTAGATAGGGAGGGAGGGAAGAAAGACAGAAAGAAAGGTCAAAAGAAAGAAACTGGAAAGAAAGCAAATAGATGGGGGAGGGAGAGATAGAAAGAAAACAACTTTAAATTTAAATGCATCCTCCAAGCCCCCGCCAACCCCAAGCCGGCTGGCTTGGCTTGGAGAAGGGATTTAAAGAGACAAATGCCTCCTCCAAGCTGGGCTGCGGGGGGGGGGGATGTTGAGAATGCATTTAAAGTTAAAGTTGCTTTCTTTCTCTGCTTCCCCCCACCTCAAGCCTACCCAGGGAGGAGAACACTGGCTAGGGAAGGAAAGACTGATTGGGGAGGCATGCCCCACCTTCGCTTCCCCAGTTGCCCTGCCAGGAGCCACATAATATGTGTGAAAGAGCCGCATGTGGCTCCCGAGCCACAGTTTGGCCACCCATGGGGTATACTAACAAAAGCCTTGGTTACTTGAGGTTGCAAAAAGTAGGACTGGGCCTAATATAGGAACCATTTTCTTCTGCATAAATGCTCTTTTATGCTTGAAGATCTGCTGCTGAGGCCTTGTAAAGGATGCCATATTTGGTGATGCAAGGTAGACATCCACTTAGAGCATGCTTTATCAGTCACTGCCTGAGATCTGTAGAATGCTCTCATGTGAGGTAATGTACCTAAGGATTCTATGAACTGTTTTACAAAATAGTATCCCTTCCATTTTGGTTTGAAAATGAGAATAAATTGAACGTCCGGTGGATGGCGGCACGCTGAGCAGTCGCATCTCCCGGACCTCCCGGGGATGCGAGCTGCGCACGAGCGGGAAGGAGGGGGTACTCAGGCTCGTTGCCCCCCAAGAGGCCCGGCGAAGGGCTTCTAGCCATGGGGCTTTTGAGAGGTCGCCTCTTCACCAGCACGATGCTGGGGAATTGAGGCGCCTCTTCGCCCCGATGGTCCCTCCTGCAAGTGTCCGTATGGAACCTAGTGACGCTGACCGGGACAAGCGTGGGGATCGAGTGGTCGAATTAGAGACTAAGCGAGGTCGGAAGACCAATATGAACGTGAGTCAGAATAAAGCATCTTTGACAATTTAAAAAGAAAGCTCCCCACCCCACGGACCGAGAAGTGAAATGAGCGGGGAGAGGAGCCCCTCCCATGCGCATGAACTTTTAAGTGAAAAAACGGGGGGGGGGGGGGGGAGGCAAAAAAGTTGA